TTTTTTTTTTTTTTTTTTTTACTTATAGGACCCCAGAGTGGACTGAAATTTTATCATAGTCCATTGTAAAAAGTAGTAAAAAAAAGACAAAAAAAAAAGACTAATATCTCAGCCTTCATGATATTTCTTGGCCTTTCCTTTATGCTTATATCATATTTTCAGGTAACTTGGAGCTCATTTTTATCTCTTTTTAGAGTCTCTTTTCTCCAATGGCTAGTTTTAATTAAGGGTTCTTACAAGTCATATCGGAGCCCTGAGGGTATAAATTAATATGTCAAATTACCCTCCTTAAATGTAATGGCACTTTGTGCCTTGGAGTGTCTGTCATACTGATGGCTTGATATAAAAGATTTTAATTTCATCTAACCAAGTTCAGTGAGAAAGTGCTCAGAACCTTATAGGCAAAGAAGATACAGCTAGTTTTCAGAGTGACTGTGATTGTTGAGAAGAATGTTCAGTCTTTATCACTGACCAAACTCCTCCACAAGAGTCAAATGGTAGAAGTCCGTTTGTGGGGGAAAAAGTTTTAACTGATAGCAATCAGAGCATTCTGTATATTAGCATTTCATTCCATTCAGTCCAATCCAGGTTATGGGTACAAATCAGTTCCAATATACCCAATCATTCTACCTAGATTCCTGAGGGGAATTTTAAAGATAATTATCACATTCAACTATCTTACACATAATGTTATTCTAGACTTTTCTCTTTCATGTATTATAATGCTTTGTGGTACAATATTGAGAAGAAGCCTGAGAGTCTCATCAAGTTACCATTATTGACATCATATAATAGTTTATAGTACATTTATTAATTACTTTATGGTCTCTAAAATATTAGATACATTGGCAAAAGTTGGTTTCTAGTTGTGAGTATACAAAATAGTTTATTCTTGTATTATTATTTATTTATTATTTATTATTATTAACCTACTCTTTCCCACCCCTGTATGGTCCTGCTATAGTCATTATATAACTCACTGATATGCACAACTTTTCTACCTGACTCTCTATGCCATGAGATCTTTAAATATGATTTTTTTTAAAAAAAAAAAGATGCCACTTTTCCACAACAATTTAGATATTATCTAGGGCAAATTGTTAAGAATGAGGAGCTGAGACCAAGAAAGTTTGTTACTTATCCAAAATTGTCAAGATATTTTACCTTTTCTAAATACTGCCATTCTGACAATAAAGTTGCATAACCTCTCAAAGCACTTTGGCTGAAAAGCCAGATAGGCCTGGATTCAAATCCCAAATTTATTACTTAGATGCAAGACTTTGGAAAGAGTCTTTAAACTGTTTTTGAGCATGAAGGCTGAAAAATGACCATCATAATAATTACGTCTCTTGGGAGGAGATATGGGAAAGATTTAATGAGATAATTTATGCAAAGTTAGCAGCCTTGTGATGACTGGTACACCATAGATATTTAATAAATAGTGTTCCCATTCCTCTAAACTCTAATGTCCAAGGATTTTCTCTAAGTTGTAAATCCTCTGTGTCTTCACCTACATTTTATAATGGAAGACCAACGTTAAAAGTGATTCAATTGAAAAAAATTCCAATACCTTTTTAAAAATGTTCTACTTATCTATGTGAATGAAGTATATACACCCAAGCAAATGTCAGCCATAACCTGGCATCTTGATTTTCTTTCATTCAGCTTCCAAGAAACAAGTAACTAATTTTTAAACACGTATGGAACTTTCGCATAATAATCTTGGCATGTTATTAAGGAAGTTATTTTATGAGATATGTTTACATATAATATATCCATCTAACAAGCATTTATTGGACTGTTTAGTATATAGGATACTGTAGATGTACTTACATTGGAACATAAGATATCTAGAAGACAGAATCCCCACTCACTAGAAAAGCATAGACAATGCAGAGAGAGATGGGGTGGGGACAGGGGGAAGCAGACTAAAATATGGTACTGTGAAGCTCAGCACCAAAAATGTGGTGTCAGAGGTTTATCAGTATGCTGTGAAGTTTGGTCAACAAACTTTCTTTTTCTTCAGGATGGTCCAAATTGAGCCTGTTATTAAAGAAGCAGTTAAAATTGATCTGGGGAGATTAAAGTTCCAAAGAGGAAACTGCTTGGGCACAATCAGAGACTGGGAAGAATGCAATCTGCAGAGAGAGGAGGGGGTGGGATAACAAGAAGCTGGATCCTATGAAAATCCTATTATAACGAGACAAGTAGATCTGTATATGTGTTTTGGACAGTGGAGAGAGGAACTTGAATACTGGGCCAAAATATTTAGATTCAGTCTAAAGAATTCCAGGAAGAAAATACAGGTTGTTGTGCATGGAGATGGCCTAGTTAAATGTGTTTTTTTAAACAAGATTACCTTGTAGCCAAATATAGAATTGAATAGAGGTGAAGATAAATTAATGGGGGTGAGGCTGTTGCAGAAAACAAAGGAGATGACCAGCATGCCGCAGGGCACAAGCATTCAGGACAGTGTTTAAGATAAAAATCTAAATTTCGTAGTACAGTCTAGATTCTACTCATCGACCTCTCCAAGTACCTCTCATTCTCAGTGACTTCCCATCGCACACTTGTATAAATCCTACTAGACTACTTCAAAACTCCTTTCAAATCTCATCTCTACTGGAAAGCCCCCTCTGATCGCCCCACTGCAGTATCCTGGGCTAGATCTAACTCTTCTCCTCTATCATCTCACAACATGCTGTGCACACCACTGAAACAAGACCAGTAATCAGAGCCAGGCACTGGAAAGACCTTTATGGGTATTAAAATGCATCTCATTTCATGACATCAGCATGAGGATTATACCCTTTTTGAGCATTGCTTCACAGATAAAAGTTTAGCATCAAAGTGTAAGTAGCTTGCCCAACCTCAAATAGCTCTAGAGCTGATGAACTGGGGTTCACACCCAAGCAGCCTGGCTGCAGAACCTCAGCGCTTCACCACCTCTGCTGCCCCTATCGCACTGCAACGACATAATTTCACACCACCTCTCTCCCACTAGGCAGTGACCCCTGTAAGCTAGGGGACAGTATTTTCTTTTCTCTCCTCTGCTCCCAACCCCAGCACTATGTGCACCGCCTAATAGGCATTCAATACATTTTTGGTGAATAAAGTGAGTCGGAGTGTAATTGAGCCCATCGGATAAGAATTTAATTAGAGTTTCCTTAAGATGCCTTAGTTTCTTTCTGTTTATGTGTTGATCTCTTTGTTTTAATTAGTTAAAAGGAGCACTCAAAGTTCAGATAAACACTACTTTTTGTGCCCCTAAGGATGACGCACCTTGTTGGCAGAGCACCTGCTCCCATCCTGTGACTTTCTACTTGTCTCCCTGTGTCTTTCTAACCAGGCCTCATCTTGGGTTCTGTCTCCCTCCCAGTGACATAATGACCACCGGTGTTTTGGTCCCGCTGCCTCACTCCATCCAGTTGCAAAACATATGTCCCTCCTTCAGTCTGCTCTGATCACCAAACTGAAATGTAAATTGAGCCACAAGTGTCACCTGATAGGAAGAATAACGTTATGTATAAAGGTTGAATTTTTTTTTTCAACATGACTAATGCAAGCTTTGAAAATGGATTCATCTCTACTCTTTCTGAAAACTCTAAATTTTCCAGTGTCCTAGTAATATTGTATTAAGATAAAGGTCACTGTATAGTAGGTTCTCTCATCTTTCTTTTATGTGTACCCAGGCGAAAGGCACTGGTTCTACTTTTGAAGAAATAAGGAGCATAAATAATAAATTACAATAGCATTTTCTACCAAAGTGTTGATTGGAAATGTAGGCTTTGTCAGCTTTGCCTTAACTATCTTATGCTGAGTTTCCCAAAGGGAGAAATAGTTTCTTATTTTGCTCAGTATTTTTATAACTCTCACTCAGCTAGAATTAGCCTTTTTGGATTTTTTTTATACTTTAAAACTTGTACTGATTTAGTTTTAGGTCAGACACTGAAGGTTATACCACATGCAGCTGGAAGAGATAGTTCAGCTTTTACAGAGCCTGTCTCACTGTAAAGTGATTTTCTCAAGTTGACACCCACCTTCCCCAGCTTGGAAGTGGGGTTTGCCCACGAACTCCCTCTCTCCCCAGGCACTGACCTTTGTCCTCGACGCACTGTGGGCCAAAGACACAGATCAGGTTTTGAATTTTTATTTTTATTTTTTTTCAGTGTGATTGTTTTCTCATTCCGCACATTTTTTGTGTATGTTGTCACTTTAAAAAAAAAAAAGTAAACATATTTTCATGCTGATAGGCTACCTAGTTTTTTGTG